TGGTACTCACAATGGCCCCATTCTGGTATGGACCTCTGTCTGAGAGTGTCGCCGTACTTCATTCCAACAAATTGATAAGTGGGGTGGTGGAAATAGGCCCAATTGGTTGCGTCGTGTGGGTTTGTTATGAATTATGAAAGCGATAAACTGGCACGGTCAGATAAGCCCTCGAGGGTTCATGATTGCACGGTCGTGCAATATACGTGCGAGCGTTGCACGTTCACACAGTCAGAGCAGCAATTGAGCCGTTGGACCGTTGAACCGCCGAGACAGGGCGCCAGCCGGACTACGTACCGTTGGTTTCAACTGGGTGAATCAAGATAACACCTCCGCCGTCGTCATGCCAAGATATCCGGCTTATGACGCGCTGCTAGCCGAGTATGTGAAATTTAAATATGAGAAGAGTGCGGAAACCTAGAGACAAAGTACCAGAACATCATGGCGCTGTGAAGGCTGTATGTACTTATCGATCGAGCGCAGGTGTTCCTCGATAGCTTCGATCCACGCTATGATGGAACCTTGGAACCCTTCTCCGGTGCTACGCAAGCATCCTTGTACGTGCGCAAGGGCCCACATCCCATGCAGCCGGGATATCATCTCCACTCAACACCCAATGTTATCGTATGACGGGGAGGGAACTGCTGAACGTGTTCCCTGGGGTTGAGCCTCGGTTGGTGAGGTAAGCTTATCATTCTTCAAGGGTCAGCCTGGAGTGTCTACAGTACAGCCTCAATGTGTGACCAACCACTACTAACAACCCAGCATCTTCATGGTCTACCTAGGTAATACCTCCACGAGAGAACTTATTGACCTCCCGCACGCCATAATCGACTCGAATTGGCCAAACGACATTAGCCGTCTGCCGTGTTGCAGAGAAGCATCACGATCCACAGTTCAAAGCGGCAAGCGGCATGTACCGCGCAATGCCGGCACGTTGAACATCGAGACGAAGCCTCAGCTGTGGCTGCCATTGCAGTCAATCTAGATCGTCAAGCAGCAGGACATATTGCCAGGACACACGACAGAATGTCACTACACCAATGCGATTGGCCAATGCAAGTATCTGGAGAAAATTGGAGAAGAAAAGCTTGCATCTAGACAAGGATAGACGTGCAGCTTAACGAACCTCCACTTGCCTGTTGCGAGACGAACCAGGGATGCTCTCTACACCACACAAGACATGTCTACATAATTGGAGCCGCGGAAGAAATTTGTCGCATGATTATTCCTTGCACACAACCCTCTCTTCAGTACGATAACAACATGTCCCCGCATCTATCTGGTCAATGAGAGACAACAGCGATGAATACTCATCAACCGTCCCCACACGATAGCACTTGCGGCCGCCGGCCACCCGTCGCAGGGACCTGGACCCATTGCCGAAGTGGAGCTTCATCATGCCCATCCCGTGGAGCCGCGGTAGTGCTGGCTCAATTGAGCGCCTCCGAGGAGCTACACGACTCTGGACGTGCTAGACGATGGAGACGAAGTGAGTCAGACCAAACATTATGAACTTGATATACGAGAGCGAAGGATGAAGGCAGCCGTTAGTTTCGTCACTAAGTCTACCTTTTTTCCAAATCACAAGTCCTGAAGGAAATGAGTGGCAATCCCACATATCCAAGTACACGAATTTGACCATCGAGATGAGGTTTCTGCAAATAAATCCGCCAAACCAATCCATATCCTCTCAAAGGATCGATATGCATACCCGAGTTCCACGGAGCTACGGCACTTGTCCGCCACATTGGCGATGCTTGTATCAACATCTGCATGCACGTCTGCGCGTCTCCATTCCATGCTGTTAGTACTGCGTCTTGAAAGGTCGCGTGCTCACCTGCCTATACCGGCTCCGCTATGACGAGCAGGGGTGCTGCATATGTAGGATCGCTAGAACGCCGTATATGACATCGCGCTTGCATGATCCAGACCCAGACGTTTGGAACGTTTCTGCCACTTGCGATGCGTGTGTTGCCCACGTGGGTGATCGGTGTGGTTTTCAGGGCTTGAGTGTGGCATGTCGGTTCGAGTAATTGTGAGGATTCGAGGTGTAATACTGCCGGTGGTAGGGGTTGAAATCGACTCAGAATTGAGGTTTGTGGGGCGCTTCGCTTGCTTGCTTGCTTCTTGCTGCTTCATGTGAAGGACGAGTTGCTTAGATATCGGTTACAAGTACGATTGGCCTTGATAGTGGATCACAGGTAGATAAATTGGCGATCGCTGATACTGCCAATGATGATATAATAGTCTATGCGTCAACAGATGTGATCCCGATGGCTCATTGCGTTGGGGAAAATCCGTGGTGCAACAGTCCCTACGTGCTTGTCAGAAAACGTGAGCAGTCTTCAAAAAGTACGCAATATACGCACGATATCATTCCAGCGCACTTCGTGGAACGACATGCACACTGAAGAATCTCAGCACTTCATCATCGCCCAAAGCTTTACACCTTCACCCCCTTCTTGGCCCCTCCCTTCACCATCAACCTTCCCCTTTCCCACAACAATCTCCTCCAGCAACTGGAACCCCAGATGTGTATACACATCCCTACTCCTCGGTGACGTAGATTCCAAAACCACAGGCCACCCCTTCTCCCTCGCCATATCAAGGACGGGGCGAATGAGGTCACTGACTTTAGCTGGGTTTGAAGTAGAGGGGTGAGTGCGGTCGTTTGCTAAAAGGACTAGATGTAGCATGTGAGTTGTCTGGGGAGGGATGAAGCGTTTCCGGACGTGATGAGCGAGGGAGTTTAGTTCTGTTACGGCGGGTGGGTTGTGTGGTTCTTCGGTGTAGTTTTCTGTTACTTCTTCTAGTGTCCTGCATAACACATCGTTAGTATGTTCCAACCTCAAAAACCTGCCAATATCCTTCTTCTCAAATGCTACCTTTCTCGAAAGAGAAATATCTCATGATGATATATCTTGTACTTACCAAACACTAGCCACCCCACTCCCAGGAACCGTCATACACCTCGCTCCCGCCTTGATGAAATCCGGCACGATAAACGCAAAAACCTCCTTGTTCATCTCTTCTCCAATGTCTGTTTTGCCAGAACCCTGCATTTCATCCAGGAGGATATAGCGTTGAAAAGCGTCGGGTTCGAATTGCTTGGCGAGAATTTCGATCGTGTGGTCTAGCGTGTCTTCTGTGAGACCAGCGGGAACGGGGATTTGCGACATTGTGCTGCTAATAAGAGGTTCTCACGAGTTGAATGTAGGCTTCGGGAAAAGATTGTGGGTGTTGTTGCAGATGGAGGTACATGGACTTTTGGCAGTATACTAGTAGTTGATGGGGTCGGTCCGAATTTTCAACGCTCCGGTCCGAAGTTCACTACATTATGAGCCGGCTGGGCAACGTGTATTGCGGTAAGTATTAGACGTCGCTAGCTTCATCCGACAGGTTGCTCGCTCGTACGAGGCTTCCGCGGGCCCCGCAGCGGTACCTGTTCACTTGTCATACGCTGTAACATACTCGAACGACTGGATTTTGTTGTGGGGCAGGACCTGGGGTAGGCCGTGCATGACATGTATACATCACGCGTAGTACGTCTCACGTTGTGTCGAAGAAGAGGGTGTTTGGTCTCAAATGAATGAAGCGCTCCGATTTGGAATGCCGTCTTCTGCCTTGATTGAACGCCATACTATACACGTAGATTAAACGCCCGCATATGTTGACACTGAACAAACTTGGTACCGCCCGCATTTCAAGACGTTTAACCTGGAGGGAGCAGACTGTTGTCGACAACATCCTGCGCCTCCATTTCCTCCACGTCGGCACTGTTATGTAGCGGGGAGCGCGGTAGAGCCATGAGGCCTGTGTGTGGTTAGCAAATCGGCCATGCCTGAACAACCCACGGTGCTTACCAGTTCTTGCGGACTCCAGGATACCGAATGGAGCAATCAGCTTCATGAATGAGTCAATCCTGGTAGGCTTCGCGGAAACCTCTACTATGCAGTTGTTTGTGCTAATGTCGAGCACCTTTCCACCGAATTGATGAGTCATGAAGGTAATCGCGCGAAGATGTTCGTGCTTGTGTCGGAGCGCCTGGCTGACGGGCAGATTGGTCGGGTGGTAGTCTTTCCGCAACGACTCGCGAGCAGCCTCCTGTGCCATTGCGTTGCGCTCCTCATCCGTCATGTCTGGTTCGTATTGCTCCTCCATCTCCGGGGTCTGAGCCATTTCCCGGTGGTGCGCAAGCAGCTCCTCAAAGTACTCCGGGCCGAGGATCGAGACCTTGGCGAGGAGCAGTTCGCGCTGGACGAGGGGCGACTGGGTGTAGTCAAGCACAGCCCATACTGGGACCAGGTCCTCGAGCTGGCGGCGGGCTTGTTCTATGACACCATCCTGCCCCTGCAACACAATTGTCATGCGGGAGAGATCGTCCACCTCGGTGTTGCAGACGACCAAACTGTCGATGTTGAAGCCGCGCGCAGCCAGGATACCGGACACGCGGGACAGCACACCGGGCTCGTTCTGCACCAAACAGTTGAGGATGTGGCTCTTGGGCGGAGCTTGGGATGGAAGCGGCGTTTCGTAGAGGATGTTGCTGACGGCAGCGGGCGCCGACCACGCCGGGGGACGGTCTTCGGTGGGGAGGGGCGCGATGCGACGGTGAAGGGCCTTGTAAGCCAGCGCCTGGGTCGACGAGGAGCTGGATGCCCGTTGTTGCTGGCGGAGGGAGGCGGCGCATTGCCTGTTGAGCAGACTGCGCAGCGGCAGCATTGCTCTCCGGGAAGCCATGGCGGGCAGTGGTCGCGGTGAAGGCGAGTAGGCGGGGAGTGACTGCGGATGTGGATGGGCTTCACGTCAAACTGCCCCAGAAAGTGAAATAGAATCCCCGGCCGATTGTCGGAGGAGCCACCAGGCCACGAACAGGCAGGTTCAGCCGCGGCACGCTAATAAGCGAGTCGCTCCTGCCAGAGGCTAAGATTCATCGACAAACACCAACCAACCCGAGCCTCACCCGCAACACGACAACTATCGCTACAGCCACACGCATCATGTCTGAGGAACGCCGCCCCCGATCGCGCTTTGACAGCGACGATGCCGAGCGCCCTGTCCGCTCGCGCTTCGACTCAGATCGTCGCTCCAGGTCGCCGTCGCGGAGGGAATCCGAGTCGCATCGCGCCCGTAGCCCTATCGCCCGTGAAGGCACAGACAGCCCTGCATCGTCCAACTTCAAGAACGAGGCGGCAGCAAAGGCGGCGGCGGCGGCTGCGAGGATCAACGCGCAGATTCAGGCGAAGAAGGGCATCCAGCATGTCGACGTGCCACCGATTCGCTCTGTAAGTTCATCTATACCCTTTAAGCATGACAAGACTAACAACCCAGGCCGCTACTCCTCCAGTCGCCAAGTCGCCCGCCTCGAACTCCGCCGCGGCCATAAACAACGAGACGTACCAGCAGGATGGTGACTACATCAAAGACATTGAGATCAATGATCTCCGTAATCGCTATACACTGACTAAAGGAGCTACACAAAAGAGGGTAAATAACTGTTTTTGCTGTCCACTGATCATGTAGGATCATGCCTTCTCCATGCTCTGCTGCGCTGCACCTGGTGCGTGTGCTGCGGGGCTGGAGTTGGTCTCTGTTTGCGCATCTCTCTATGAGAGTCAGAGCTTACTTGATCTAGCACCCCACCCCATTTATCAAATGCTAACCTCCATGTGCCATCTAGATCAAAGACGAGACTGGCGCCGGTACGCATCCCCGATTACAACCATTAACCTTTAGAATACCTGCTTATACATGCAAGATGTCACTACTCGCGGAGAATACTACCCTGACAAGAACATGGCCACTGCTACTGTAGGTGGACACACAGAGTCTCGTCGACAAAGCTAATGGGAACAGAACCCGCCGCTGTACCTCCGCATCACTAGCACCTCCAAAGAAGGCCTGGACAAGGCTGTCGAGATGATCGAAGAGATGATGAAAGAGGACCTTCCTAACCTTGTAGACGAACGTCGTTTCCGCCGTAGAGAGCCGGAGAACTTCGAGCGCGACGAGTTTGGCAGAGTATGTCGCCCTGTCTGTTATCCAACATGTTGCTAATTCTTCCCAGCGCAAGTGGCCCGAAGAGAAGATTTCCGTAGGTCTCGAGCCTATCAGCGGCTTTAACTTGCGCGCACAGGTTGTCGGTCGCGGTGGCGACAACGTCAAGTTCATTCAACAGGAGACAGGCTGCAAAGTCCAGATCAAAGGTCGCGGTTCCGGCTTCATGGAGCCGAACAGCGGACAAGAGAGCGACGAGCCCATGTACCTCCACATCGCGTTCGTATACCCCGCCATTCTTACCCTCCAATTACTGACAGATCGTAGTGGACCCCGTCCCGAAGGCGTAGCCCAAGCCAAGCAACTCTGCGACGAGCTCCTCGACAAGGTAAAGTCGGATTACCACGCTTACAAGGAACGCCCTCCACCGAACCGTTACGGCGACCGAGATGGCTATGGCGGTGGACGACCGGGATACGGCGATCGTGGCGACCGTGGAGATCGCGGTGACCGTGATGGTCGCAGCCAGAGCTACGGATACGGTGGAGGAAACGGAGGAGGCGGCGGCTACGGTGGCTACGGCGCTCAGGGTCAGAACGGTTACGGCGGCCAGGACACAATCATGTCTCCTGCTGCTGCAACGCCGACTGCTGATGCTAACAACCAAGCCTACGACGCCAATGCGGCACAAGCATGGATTGCCTACTACCAGCAGAACCCAGAAGCTGATCCTTATGCCGCCTACGGTGGGTATGCAGCGTACCTCGCACTTCAGCAACAGCAGTATGCCGCGTACTATGCTCAGAACGGTTATGGCCAGACGCAGTCGCCTGCTCCCGGCGCTGGCGCGGCTGCACCACCACCGCCGCCGCCTTCAGAGCCATCCGGCTACGCTGCTCCTCCGCCGCCTCCACCAGCGGCATCGCCTTCCAACTATGGCGCCGTTCCTCCACCTCCCGGTTTGTAAGTCCGAAGCAACGACTATGATTTCGCGCTTACGACAGCCATTCAAATTGACTTGATTGATCGAAACTAGTCCGATTTGCCTTTGCATATTGACTGACGGCGGGTGTGGTGGATTGGTTTGAGGGTTTCTCTACGCTTCGGCACGTTAGTTACAGGTACGGAGCATCGTCTCTCGGGCACGGTAATAGTCTGCCAATCTGGAGTTGTCACTTTAGTTAGGATACCAGTGCCATTGCTATAGCTTGAATTTAAGAATGGTACATCGCCCATCGCGTCATCTCTCAGATTACTTTGACGCGTGCTGTGATTGGGTCAGAGGGTTTCCTTCTCCGCGGTACCTATGACTCGCGTGCATCTCCGCAGTCGGCTCGGTATATTCTGAAGGCACCATTTTTGACGTGCTCGCACCGCGTCGCCGCCACGGACAACCTACGAAAAGATGCGGTCGCAAATACTTCGTGCTGGTCAAGCAGCCAACTGCAGGGTGAGTCTACATATGCCATTGGCCGTCCAATGTCTCCCCAAACTTCATGCGACTTCCGCAATAGTCATGGTCATCGCGCTTCTCTACTACACCTCTAAGTGGCACAAAAACGCTGACACTCCCTCTACAGCCCCATCTCTCCTCCCTCCGCCAACCGCTCAGATGCCTAGCCACATCGCACTCGCCGCCCTCGGCGCGCAACGTCGACCTCGGCTCGCGCACCCCACCGTACGCCAAACTGCTCTCGCGGCTCGAAGAAGTGCGGCGCGTACTCGGTTCCTCTCGCCAATTGACTTTGGCAGAGAAGATTCTGTATTCGCATCTTGAGAGCCCCGAGGAGTCGCTGTTGAGCAATACCAATGGAGGAAGGGATATTCGGGGCCAGGCGAATCTCAAGTTGAAGCCGGATCGCGTGGCGATGCAGGATGCGAGTGCGCAGATGGCGCTTTTGCAGTTTATGAGTTGTGGGTTGCCGAGTACGGCTGTGCCTGCTAGTATTCACTGTGAGTAAAGGCTATGGATAAACTGCGATGGAGGCATGTGCTGACTGCAACCTTAAGGCGACCACATGATAGTAGTCAGTAGTACCCTTGAGGCCGTCCGGGTCATACCGTGAGGATTTCGCTGATTTGAATGTCTAGGGAGAAAAAGGCGCCGACACTGACCTTCCACAATCGATAGCGGGCAACAAGGAGGTCTTCGATTTCCTCGAGTCGGCGGCGAAGAAGTACGGAATCGAGTTCTGGCCACCCGGCGCTGGCATCATCCATCAGTCTGTCCTGGAAAACTACAGTGCTCCTGGGCTCATGATCTTGGGCACGGACAGTCACTCACCGAATGCTGGAGGTCTGGGATCGATTACAATTGGTGTTGGTGGTGCCGATGCGGTCGACGCTCTTGTGGACGCGCCATGGGAGTTGAAGGCACCCAAGATCTTGGGTGTGAAGCTTACCGGAGAACTCAGCGGATGGGCCTCGCCAAAGGACGTGATCCTGAAATTGGCTGGCGAGCTGACCGTCCGGGTATGTTATTCTGAGCATGGCGAAGTACTTCTGGCTGACGTATGTACAGGGTGGCACTGGCTTCATCATTGAGTACTTCGGACCTGGTGTGCAGTCTTTGAGCTGCACAGGTATGGCAACTATCTGGTAAGACTGTTACATGGTTTCAACGAATGGGGAAAAACTAATACGTCGTAGCAACATGGGCGCTGAAGTCGGCGCAACTACCTCGCTCTTCCCCTTCTCTCCTGCGCATATCCCCTACCTCCAAGCCACACATCGCGGACCGATCGCTGAAGCCGCCGCAAAGATCGCGAATTCACCAATGCAGCAGAACCTGCTACGACCTGACCCGGAAGCCGCTTACGACAAAGTTATTGAGATCAATCTTTCGGAACTCGAGCCTCACATCAACGGACCATTCACCCCGGACCTATCAACACCTCTATCCAAGTTCAAGTCTGTAGTTGAAGAGAAGGGATGGCCACAAACATTCGGTGCGGGCCTGATTGGTAGCTGTACAAACAGCTCGTATCAAGACATGACGCGATCAGAAGAGATTGTGAAGCAGGCACTGGCAGCGGGTCTCAAGCCCAGGGCAGACTTCTTCATTACGCCAGGCAGTGAACAGATCCGAGCTACGTTAGAACGGGATGAAACCCTTCAAACGTTTACTGCTGCCGGTGGCACTGTACTAGCAAACGCTTGCGGGTGAGTTTCTAGATTATCCTGATTGATTCTAAGTACTGACAACCTCGACGTCCCTGCATTGGGCAATGGAAGCGCACCGACGATGTAAAGAAAGGCGAGTCCAACGCTATCCTCACATCCTACAACCGCAATTTCCCCGGCCGCAACGATGGCAACCGAGCTACCATGAACTTCCTCGCTTCTCCCGAACTCATCACCGCCATGTCATACTCTGGCTCTACGACCTTCAACCCAATGACCGACAGCATCCCGACACCTGACGGCAAGCCTTTCAAGTTCGCGCCGCCAAAGGGCTCTGATCTCCCCACCGCTGGTTTCGCAGACGGTAACCCAGACTTCATGCCTACGCCAGGTGTCCCCGACGCCAGCGTGGATGTCATTGTCTCGCCTACATCCACCCGTCTGGCACTCCTTGATCCTTTCCCAGCATTCCCTGGCTCGGAGTTTACAGGATTGCGGGTACTCTACAAGGTGAAGGGACAATGCACAACGGACACCATCTCGGCTGCCGGTCCATGGCTTAAGTACAAGGGCCATCTCCCCAACATCTCCGAGAACACACTCATCGGTGCAGTCAACGCACAGACCGATGAAGTCAACGTTGCCTACGACTTCGACGGTAAGACGTCCGGTATCCCAGAACTAGCAAAGAGGTGGCGCGACCAGGGCATCGAGTGGCTAGTCGTAGCAGAGCACAACTACGGCGAGGGCTCTGCCCGTGAACACGCCGCCCTACAGCCCCGATACCTCGGTGGCCGCATCATCCTAGCCAAGTCATTCGCCCGTATCCACGAGACCAACCTCAAGAAGCAAGGTATTGTCCCACTCACCTTCGCCAACGAAGCCGACTACGACGCTTTCGAAGCATGCGACCAGGTTGCTACACGAGGACTGTTGGACGTGCTGAAGAGCGGTGGCAAGGGCGAAGTCGAGCTTGTACTCAAGAAGAAGGACGGTAGCGAGAAGGTCGTCAAGACTAAGCACACACTCTCGCACGATCAGTGTGGATTTGTGATGGCTGGCAGTGCGCTCAACCTTCTAGCTGCGAAAGGCAGGGAGATGAAGGAGGAGGTTACCCGGAGTGCGGAGCTGACTGATTAAGTCACGTTTGTAAAAACAGGCAAAAGTGAGCATCTACGGCGCTATTGGTGTCACGGCGCATAAAGTATCCTAGCAATATACTACTTCCAGTCAAATGAATACGCATGAATTACCTACAACTAAACCGATGTAAAGACTGGCCAGCGTGGTTTTGATGTTCGGTCCTCCCCCACCAAGCCTAAAAAAATGTCTGACAAACTTCATCAGCGCCGCTCCGCGTCCTCCGCACAACACTATCTCAACAAGCGCGACACAGATGAGTGAATGGATGGCAACAAAAGGGAAGCAAAAAGCATCTCGGGCGGGGCTCGAACCCGCAGCCTTTGGATTAACCATGGATACAGTTAGTAGAAGTCCAACGCGCTACCATTGCGCCACCGAGACCGTCAAGCGGAAATAGAGACTTCTGGGAATTTTCGAAAACTGTGCGTAGATATACCGTAGATTTTCCATGGATGTGATTGAGGAGGAGGATATGTGCTGCATGAGGGACTGACTGATTGAGGTTTGCATGTGAAAACGTTAAGGGTGCCACGTCACGGGCGCGAAGTGGGGGTGTGCAGACATGGTTCGTTTCTTTGTTTGACATCGGGTGTGGTGGGCTGAGCAACATCACTATGGGATCGAGACTGCGCTGCTATTGCTTGGGTGATTGATGTTGAGATTTTGTGCATACTTCTCGAAGGTTACTGCTTCACATGCTGCTGTCCTGCGAAGTTGCGACCCCTCAACGCGGTGTGCAACAGCTCATTCGCAGTTAACCCTGCGCACGTGTTAGGTATCTTCTTGTATTCGTCCCATCCATCGCAGATTCATGGCTAGAGCAAAGATAGAAACAGCTGATATCAAAGCCCTTCGATCTTCTCAATCATCTCCAACATAACCTCATCCGTCAATTCCCCCACCTCTCCATGACCACTCTTACTCCGCTCCAACACTTGCCTTAGCTGCAGACGATTCGACTCCCAGCTGATCCACGCAGCAGCCTGGAGAAAACAATCTGTGACGTCGTCCAGCTTCTTGAGCGCAGAGCCTGCGACTGCTGCAGCTGGAAGCCCGTCGTCTGATTCATCGTTGGCTTTCTTACGTCGTTTGGATGTTGAGATCGATAGGAGCGCTTGGCGGGTGTTTTCTGCATCTGGTGCGAAACTGAAGGTTATGCCCGGTACCGTGTCTTGTGTTACCGATGCCGTGGACGCGGGGGTTGCGGTGAGCCAGGAGCGGAGGAGAGCGATTTTGACCTTCTTTTCTGCTTTGGATCGACTCAGAGTCTTTTTGGGAGTCGCCGCTTCGTCTTCGTTGCTCTGGCCTGGTTTCATGACTTCTTCGTCTCCATCTGCAAGGCGTCCGGCAGCTCGGGTGAGCCAGTACTGTCCTACGCGTTTGGGATCTGCACTGAAGACTTCGTAGAGCTTTGCTGTAGTCGATTCTGACGCTCCCTTTTCTAGTCTTTGGGCGTATATGGTTTGAAGCACAGCCCATAGCATGCCTTCTAGAGTGTTGACCCGCAAAGTCCACTGTTGCACCGCGCTTCCACCGCCAGATCTCCACCTTTGCTTTTCGATCAAGATGATGTCTGGCGAGCCGGCTAGAATCTTGTTCTTGATCAAGCCATACGCTGTCTTGGACAAAGCATCCGCAGAATACATGTCCGATGCTTCGTCAGCACCCTCAGTACGTTGCTTTGTGGTCTTGCCCTTTCGTGGAGATTTCTTTTCGCTCTGTATCTCGTCCCCTGGGGCTTCCGTAAGGTTAATCTTCTCCCATCTCAAAACCTTCATGTCCGCATCTAGGCTATCTTTCAATGGGTAAGATACCTCCGCCTCGCAAAACGCCAGGTTCTTGATTCCCATGTCGATGCTCATAATGCGGAGCTTCTTGTTTGCAGCTCCAGATTTTGGCCATGTCGGTTGACTCTTGGAAAGATGAGATATTCCGATATCACGTCGGAACCGTTCCTGTAGTACTGCTTTTGTTCCTGAGGATGGTGCGCCGATGTGTACAAGTAGAGTTTGCAACGCCTTGGCTGTCACGGCGCGAGGTTTGGGTGCCATTGAAGCTATCGGCGCTGTTTTGTCGGGTTTATAGTAGTCTAAGATGCAGATTGATCGACGAAAAGAAGTGCTATTGACCTAGCCCGAGCGGAGAGAAGCGCCGGAGGCATTGTGAATCGCGGCACGTTGAAGGGACCATGTAAGAAGAGCAGTGGCAACTCAATGGATTGTAGTCATCTTATCAAACCTCAGCTTTGGTGTGCGAAGACGTGGTGGCGGATAAAGTTTTTGGGGTTGAGAGTTGACGAAAAGTCAAGGTAGACACGTCCCGACTTAGCGTGGAGCACGCACGTGATGCGGTCATTGACATCACAACCCTCGAGTTCAAATAGATAATTCATGTCAAAAGATGAAATCTCAGACGTACTTAAGTAATGTATCATTATCATGTTCTTTGCACGCATGCTATAGACGCTGCGTTAATCTCCATCCCAAGGCCTCTCGACGTCTCTTCACGCCCATACCAAACTTGGAAGTCACCATATACTTCTCTCCCTCGACTACCCTTCACAAATAAGATCGAAATCAGGAAAATCGGGATCAGGGCCAATGTTTGTACTCGCAACCGCACTATTGAAGTCCTTGACCTGTGCGTTCTTCTGCGCATCGTTGCACTTGTCTATCAAGTCTGTTAGCGATCCATCCCAAATTGTAGAAAGTAAGGGAAGAAGGATGACTTACTCTTCTGCTCATCACAGTCATTAACACTCAAACCCCCATCCTGCCTCTTCTTCCCCTTCTTCCCCCTACCTCCACCTCCTCCATTACTATTCGCAGTGTTGCTGCACCCTTGAAACTGATTATCGCAACTCCTCTGCGCCGCAGAATCGAAACTGGTGAATGTGTCCCCATCGACCTGGAACGGTCGCTCTTTGTCGCCTGAGTTTGTAATGGGTGATGCACGTGTTCCGCCGAGGTTGCCGTCAAAGGTCTGCAGATCGGATACTTGCCGTAGGAAGAGTGTGTGGCGAGGCACTAGTGACATCTCCCAATCCGAGGAGACTAGGGCGGGTTGTGGAGAGGCATGTGATAGGGCGGGGAGGGCAAGATGGATTAGAGCTAGGAGGGCTGTGGGAAGGAACATGGCTATTGAGTGGCTGGTAGTTTTTGGTAGTTGTTGGCACGTGTGAGTGAGGTAGACAGAGACGTTTGCCGGTGCTGAGGGATGCCGGGCGTGAATCGATACCGGTATGAAATGACTTTGCCGCGCGTGAAAGGTGCCGATATAGAAAGATGTGTCAGGCGTGAAAAGTGCCGGTATGTAAAGATTTGCCGCGCGTGAAAGTTACTGTCGTGCGTGAAAGCTATTGCCGTGCGTGAAAGCTCCTGCCGTGCGTGGAAGACGATGCCGGGCGTGAATCTTGCCCGTGCTGAAAGATGCCGGTATAGTAAGATTTTGCCGTGCGTGAAAGATGCCGGTGTAGTAAGATCTGACGGGCGTGAATCGTTGCTGGTGCTGAATATATGCCGTGCGTGAAAGACGAAAAGTGCCGTGCGTGAATCAACCTCGTGCGTAAAACCTCAACACCTCAATCGCCAATATCCTCCGAACGTATGTAGGCACAGCCTTTGAAAATAAACGATTCAATCGTACCAAACGAATGTAAATATCGCAATCTCTCCAGAGAGCAAAAGACGCAAATCCCCGTTCCAAACACCCACCCGGGGCCAACCGCATCTAAGTATAACCTACTGCCCCAACGCCAAACGCCTCCACATGGCGTGGAAGCGCCGAACATGCATTATCTCACGCCAAACGAGTTTGGGGCCCAGCGGTCACAAAGCTTGTTTGGGCAAGTCGACACGTTGGTTGCTTGCGACGGTGCTGAAACACGATCCTTGACTCGACCCCTGGCAACGCATAAACATGTGCACGCTGCACACGTAAGAAGGACGAGGCGGACAGAAGAACGGCCTTGTTCGAGTGTGAGGGAGAAAAGGAGAGCATGAAGATGGTGATGTAATAGAGGGAATCGGACAGTAGACACTTTTTGGCTATGCTGATTTCGATATTTCGCGCTATGGATTGGGGTATGACTATGCTAAAACAAACAAGAAAGGCAATGACGCTCTATTACAACTGACGTAAAACAGGTGTAACGATGCAAAGCGCAACGTACACAGACAGGATGATGGGGAGTGATCGGACGAAAGTGGTTGTGGTGCCTCTTCTTCAACGTGATGGTATACGTCTAAATCTACATTGTGCGCAGTCCTTGTGGGACTGACTGACCACGATGGTGACGGTATACACGAATCTAACATCGCGGAATCAGCGCCTGGAATGCAAACTCACAGAGAGGCCATTCGTGCATTATAGCCGCGATTGCAAATATATACATCCTCCGCCGTGCTGTCGTCTCTCAAAATCGCTTCTAGCTCAGACAAATTCCGCAGATAGTCGTTGGTATCGTAATGGGCCCTCATGGGCCTATGTACTTTGGTTGGGCTGCGCTTCGCCTAGAAGTTGGCAGCTGCGTTGGGGCGTCCTCCTGGGTTGTGGTACTGCTCCAGGTTCGACTGGAAGGGCGATGAACCGGTGCCGTTCTGAGGCTTGTCGCCGAGGGCTGAGCCAGTGCCGGCCATGAGGTCGTCGTCGTCTTCGTGGACACGTGCTTGGCGCTTCTTCATGCGCCAGAAGACGAGGGCGATGCCACCGAGGAGTAGGGCTCCACCAACGCCACCAACTACACCTCCGATAACTTTCTTGTTGGAGTCACTAATGCCACCGCCATTGTCGCTGTCACCTGCTTGTGCGGTGGGCGGGTCGGTGACGACGGCTTCACCGGTGGAGGAGACGGAAGTGCTGGTGCCTGTCGAAGTCGCTTTGGTTACTCTGCCATCGCTCAGGGTCGTGTCGAGAGTCGTGGTATACTCGAACACCGAGGTAGCGAAGAGAGCGGAAGTCCTGACAATCGCGGTCGTTCTTACGGAAGAGCTGCCATCTTCAGTGGCCGTCGGTGAGTTAGCGGCGCCGCCACCTCCACCAGTGCGACTCGTGCCCGCCGCGGTTGTTGAAGCGTCGTTGTTGTTGTTGCTGTTGTTGTTATTGTTATTGTTATTATTGCCGCCATCGGAAGTGGGTGCGGCAGCGGTAGTCGAAGGTGCGGGAGCGTCGGATGTGGGATCGTTCGACGGCGGTGGGTTGTTGGTGGTTGAGGGTTCTGGCTCGGGAGTCGCGGATGTTGCTGGAGGTGCGGCCGACGATGTGGCAGGTGGTGCGGCGGAGGACGCTGGAGGTGCTGCTGAGGATGGCGCGGGCGTGGCGGATGGTGATGAGCCGCCAGTGCCTTCGGCGTCTTGCCTCTTGCCCTGATGGAGGTACTGGTTGATACCGTCCATGTGTAGATCCTCGAGGGTAAAGGCCGACGATGCGACAGTCAAGACAAAAACGGAGAGCCAGGCCTTGGGCAACATGGTGGGCGGTTGTTGTTGGTAGCAGGAGGACTGGTAGCGTTTTTACGATGGAGCTGACTGACGCGCGTTTCACGAACAGCCAAGGTTATATTAAGGGCGATAGAGGTGAATCTCGTCGCCTATGAGCTATGTGGATGGATCAAACGAGTGAACGGGTAGAGGCAAGAGAATAGTGTAGCGAATGTTAGCCGGAAGCCAGTGAAGGTGCCGAGTTGAATGACAGGTGATCAAGAGGAGAAAGCCCAGGAGAGTTTAGGGTCGGCTTCACTCTTCCAAGACTGCGACACATGGTCACGTGATACCTAATTTTACACATCAGCCGCCGGGGCAGTCCAGACCCATCCACAGGGGCTCACCAGCACTGGCCATACAAAACGGTGGTCAGTCACAGTCATTGAGTCAATCTTGCTTCGAAGGTTTTGCATAACCAACCAACAGCATTCGTTCTATTGTGGTGTGTCGCGTGGCTGTACCTAGGTACGCATAACGAAGGTTTTCTGTCCTCGTTCCGTATCTGGCCATCGTATACTGTACCACGGTACTTCAACGCGCCCCCAAACGCACTGCATCAGTTGTTGAAGTACAGACGTTGTTTATAAAAAGCGCCCGGGACCTTTCACTGCCCTGCATATGCGCCTGGAAGGCTTGACAGCTCGAACAAAAATTCTGTCCCTCAACAGAAACACCAGGGAGATTTGCACACAGATGACCCGAGAGACTAGTAGTCTTTTACTGCCCTACTAGCCCACCTCTGCTTTTTTAGTTCGACGTCCCGCTGCATTGCTCGACGCGCATCGTACCTTAGCAAAACCTCCCTTCCCATTCGTCCAACCCGCCAATCTTTACAACTTTTGCTGCTTCTAAATCCGTTTCTGCAGCGGCCCCATTTCGCGGCTCCCTCGGCTGGACAGGCTAGTTACGGCAATCTCTCCGTCTTGGACGTGCGTCATCAAGCCCTGCGATTTCTTTGCATGCCCTTGTACGGAGTAACAGAAGCAAGAAATCATTATTACCTGTAGCCGCACGCGCTGTGTGGGCTACACCCTTACCCGTCCAACCCCCGTTGTTCATCACGCAACGCAACCATGCTCGCAGCTGTCATGTCGCACAGCGTGTCGCTGACAACTCACGAGGCGCTTTCCGGTGTCTTCGGCTCAATCTCGCTGGCTTCGTGGATCTTTCTGTTGGTGAGTAAACAACTTGATACGACGACGCTGTTGTTCTTCATTTCCTATGCTTTCGCGGACGTACAGGGACCTTGACACGTCGTCCTGCAATGTTCATGTATCTCTGATACCACCTGCGCTATTCATAGAACCGCGACTGGAGCTGCAGCACGCGACATCACCTGGGCATACATCACCAAATCGCATCCTAACACACCGCGCAGGTCCCGCAACTAATCGAAAACTACAAGTCATCCTCCGCTGATGGCATCTCCCTCGCCTTCCTCGTCGTCTGGTTCGTCGGCGACATAACCAACCTTGCCGGCGCCCTCTGGGCAGGCCTCGTCCCCACCGTCATCGCCCTCGCAATCTACTTCTGCTTCGCAGACCTCGTCCTCATCTCGCAATGCGTCTACTACAACATGAAGAACTCGCGCCGCGGGGAGCGCAAAACCTCCGTGCAGTCTACAAACAGCGTTGAGGCGCCCCTGCTGGGCAGACGCGATAGCAGCAACGTCGGTCTGCCGGGAAGCCACAGGCGCGATTCTGCAGCTAGTCGCAGGCGGCGCGCGAGTTCGCTACCTACGATTCCGGATGTGGGCGATGGCGCGAGCGAGTGGGTTAAGAATGCGCTTAGCATCGTGGGTGTCTGTGTCGTTGGTGCTGCAGGCTGGGCTATCGCGTGGAAGACTGGTGTGTGGGTTCCGCAGCCTCAGCATAATACGGAGGACACCACGGACAACCCTGTTGGTGCCATGATCTTGGGATACGCGAGCGCCGTGGCTTATCTTGGAGCGCGCATTCCTCAGATCATTAAGAACCAGAGGGAGAAGTCCTGCGAGGGCTTGTCGCTGCTGTTCTTCATGTTGAGTCTTTTGGGCAATGCTACGTATGGTGCAGGGGTAAGTCACATCCACACTTTGCTGGAAGTCACGGCGACTAACATCTGCCAGATTATCTTCCACTCGCAGGAGAAAGAGTACATACTCACGAACCTCCCCTGGCTCATCGGCTCCCTCGGCACAATGGTCGAGGACATAACCATCTTTATCCAATTCCGCGTGTTCGGCAACGGCGAGGCATCTTCAGCCCTCGAGGCGTGATGCGCTCAGCTGTGTTTATAAAAATGATCTGTATTGGATACGTCTGGCGTTTTGATATCTACCGCAGAGCGACGATATGATCTGCTCCAAAAGTTTGTGTGTATGTATTTGTATCACTGGTCTACGATACCCAGTCGAAAAAAAGATGAACCTATGTTTGGGCGCCGGCGGCGAGGTAATGTTGTATTATGAGAATAGATTTGGCATATCAATCTTGAAACTTGACATCAAGCTGCCCTAGTGCGCACCCACCCTGTTCGTGGTCCTCGAAAGCGACTTGTATCTGTGAAGCACCTGGAGATACACGTCGTTTACTTATGATCAGCCTACAACTCATTTGCGTAAGAAGCGCAGTACGATACGACTCAAAGAATCGCAGAAATTGTCTACGCAGCCAAATCGCAAGCGCCATGTCCCCATCTGAGTCCAATCGTTCCCTCAGCCCTATCGGCCAAATGTACAGGAACGATTATTTGCGAGCAGTCGACATCTGGAAGTCTAGCTCTCGCGACGAGGCCTACATCATTGTAGGGATCTTCTTGCTGACCCAGCCGTTGGCAAATGGCACCAAGATGGCTTCCATCTTCTCCTTGGCAACTCAGACGATTGTATGTACACACCTTTACCTTGATTACACTTTGTTCTAACTTGATTCAAGGTCACGTTGAACATGCGCAGCGCGCGCGGGATCTTTACGATGAGATGCCCAAGGAAACTCTTCGAATAGACCCGAATAAGGATGTCGCAGGACTCACTCAATACCTGGAGATGGCCGAAGTAATGCTGGCGCAGCCTCTATTGAAACCTATGGCTTGATAGAAGGAGTTGCATGCATGACAGAAGTATTGATAACCCACCTGTTTGGCGTCTACTTGTGCCACATCGTGAGATAGCTACTTCTTCGTCAACATATGCATCGTGCTCTGCGATCATCAATTTCACGCAACATGGTGCATTACTGTGCTAAAGACCGAACCCTTTGACAGATTTCCCGTGGGGTATATCTCCCCTTAAGCAGTCTATAAGCGCCATAAGAGACCTGAGAATGAGATCCATAGATTCTACCGTACCAGCCTTGCCCACTCATACCGAAAGAATAATCTACTTAGCATGAGCGTATTTCTGCTCGTGAACGCCAATGGCACTATATCATATTAGTTTTTCGTCGTGATCGTACTTCAAAAGGGAAGACTTACCGTCCAGAAGGATCCGTCTGGTTGCTCCAGGTAGGCGTCCATCGCATGACGGTGTCGGCACAGTAGCTGGGGAAGTGCTCGTCGAACATGCACCTGTACCAGTACGCCTCCTTGGTATCCGGGATGTCGTTGCCCCACTCCGGCTTCGGGTTCTTCATCATATCATCGGTAACGTGGAGCTCAGCGGTGTCCTTGAGCGCGTCAATCCATCCGTAGCCTACACCATCAGAGAACTGCTCCTTCTGTCTCCAGAGGATCTTCTCAGGGAGGTAGGGCTGGGTCTCTGGTTCGTCGGTGGTATCGAATGCCTTGCGCAGAATGTACTTCTCGATGCGGCCGGCTTCACGGTCGATGAGCTTGTCGGCGGGATCAATGTTCATCGCGGTGTTGAGGAAGTCCTTGTCCAGGAAAGGCACACGCGCCTCGACACCCCATGCGGATGTTGACTTGTTGGCGCGAAGGCAGTCGGCAAGATGGAGGTTCTTGACGCGGCGAATGCATTCTTGGTGGAAAGCGGCCTTGTCGGGCGCGTTGTGGAAGTAGAGGTATCCACCGAAGATCTCGTCGCTTCCTTCTCCTGAGAGCACCATCTTGACTCCCATAGCCTTGATCTTTCTGCTCAACAAGAACATGGGTGTTGAGGCGCGGATAGTTGTTACGTCGAAGGTCTCGAGGTGGAAGATGACATCTGTGAGTGCGTTGAGGCCGTCCTCAATGGTGAAGGTAAAGGTGTGGTGCTTGGTTCCGAGGAAGTTGGCTACCTCCTGCGCAGCGATGGCATCGGGTGCGTTGGGCAGACCAATTGAGAAGGAGTTGAGTTGTCCCAAAAGGAGATCTGTCTGAAGCTCGTTGGAGTCGTCGATACCAACGAGTTGGTTCTGCTGCTCGCTGGCGTTGCCCGAAGACGCTGCAGCTTTCTTCCTTGTGAGCTCGTTCAAGCGCAGAGTTTCCCGCTGCGCAATTGAAGCGACCAGACTCGAATCAAGACCACCAGACAATAGTACACCAAAGGGAACTTCCGCCATCATGCGTTTCCGCACTGATCGCTCAAACGATGCCCTCAATTCCTTGTAGTTTACGGGTTGTGTAGGGATGTTCTCGGGCTCGACCAGCCACTTGGGGTCGTAGTATCGCGTGAGCGAATCCGTCTTCGAATCGTAGACGTGGCCGGGAGGGAAGGAGATGATGTTGTCGCAGACGGGATGTAAGCACTTCAGCTCGGAAGCGAAAAAAACCGCGCCTGGTGCTGTGCTGGATCGGCCCATGTAGAAGGTGGTGATACCGATCGGGTCGCGTGCTGCGATGACACGATCTTGAGCCTTGTCGTGAAGGACCCAAGAGAACATGCCGTCGAGTTTCCGGGGAGCATCGATGTCATGTTCGAGATACTGCCATGCGTCAGCCTCTATCCTATAGAAGAAGTGTGCCCAATATTACCAGAGGAATGATAACCTCGCAATCTGAGTGTGTCTTGAAGTTGTACGGGTTCTTGAGGGACTTGCGGAGGATTCGGTGGTTGTAGATCTCGCCGTTGA